CTCTGGGTACATATTATGATGACATAGAGATGATGATGAGGAGGGATGAAGATGGAAAGAGAGAGAGAGAGAGACCATTATTGAGATAATTTGAAAGCCTCTGAATGAAAAATCATCTTACCCACTATAATTATCTTCATCTTTTTTTCTTCTTGATGAAAAGTATCTTTCTCTCTCTCCCTTTCTTACCTTTCTTTTATCATCTTTCGACTTCCTTTCTTCATCTTCCATTTTTCATCTTTTCTCTCTCACTCTTTTACCTGAATGAATTAAACAGTAGCAATCAACGATCATCATCATTTCCGTTCGCATGAATTGATGTACCTGATGATTTTATTAAAACGGACAGTTTGAATTTCAATATTCCCATGTGACTTAATACAAAATATAAATTGAAAAGCGAGAAAAGAAAACAAAAAGTTGCAATTAACAATTTAAAAGGTAATAAACATTATCATCTATCTAATTAATGATTGTTAATTGTTATCAAATTTGTGTGTGTGTGTGTGTTTGTCAATGAGCAGCAATTTAAAAATCTCATCCCGGTAACTCAATTCATCTTATACAACATTATCCTTGCGGCTCTTTAATCATCATCCTGGTAACATTTTATATCCTTAATATCCTCTTAGTATCATCATCAATATCATCATTTTATCATCATGGTCTCTCTCTCACTCTCTTCTATTAAATCATGATGATAAGAACTAGTCTTAATCCCTCAGAATTAAATATATCTTTGTATTCAATGGACCTCCCCTGATGGTGTATGATTAGTGTGTTAATTTAAACCAATTTGTTTACTTCATTAAAATTGACAAATTTAAACTCAAAAAAAAATGAGCTCCCAATTTAATCATCCAACAATAATAACGACGATGATAATTAACCATCCTCATCATTTTTACTTACCATGATTCTGATAATTATCTTGATTCAGTTCATCTTTCAAGTTATTTAATATTTCCAATGACCTTTATCACATAAGAGTAACTCTGTTAATAAAAGTTTATCTTATTAGTTTGATTTGCAATTAGATTGCAATTAATTGATTACAATCTTCACTCTCTATCAATCTCCTAATTTGTATTTCATTTCACCCGAAGAAGAAGTAAAAAAAAACAAAATCAGCTGATGGATCATCTCTCTTAATCTTAATAAAGTGAAAACTTTTGATTATTAGCAAAGTAAGTGAGTGAAAGAGAGAGAGAGAGAGAGAGAGAGAGAGTTGATTATTATCAATTGATACTAATCAATAATTTAATATTATGATTGATGATTGATTATTTAAGTGCGTGTATATTAAATACCCACTCAAATGATCACCACAAATTGAAAAGTTTTCATCCAACTTGGTAAACATTATTTACCATTAATTTTAAATTTCTAAAATTTCAAGAATCAAAATTCAATCTCAATACTGAAACCATGAAGAAGAGATTGAATTTTCTGTTCATCATCTGTTGAAAATGTGTATTCCTTTTCTTAATCTGAATTATATATTTCCCATGCTCTTTTCCTTTCATCTTGATGCCTGATGATCGTAAAGCCTTCAGGGTATGATTTTTTTTTGCTGCAGATTCTTAATCCTCATTGTACTGGAAATGACATTTACAGATGATGATGCAGATGGAAAGATGCAGATGCATTGGGTGATTCTGATGATGATAATGATACTTATGATGATGATGATGATGATGATGAAGATGCTGGTGAAAATGAAATTGAATATGATGGTAAACACGGTTAGTGTCAATAAGTAAAGTGAATTGAAAAACTTTACTTTTCAATTCAATTGATCGTGAAGATGAAGATGATGAGGATGATGATGATTTGGATGAGAAAGAGGAAGATGAAGATGATGATAAGTTGTATTTAGATAAAAATTACCTGGTGTAATAAGTATTCAATGCTGGAAACTGGTCTCTCTAAATGATAACTAAAAGATGCTAATGATGATAAATATACTAATTAAATTAACTAGTAACAATTATCACCATTGGATCGTAAGGATAATTAAACTAAATCAACTTTTAAAGTCTAAATAGTTGTTGTAACAATTTACCTACAAACTAATATTATATTGACAATTTTTGATCAACTCTATTGATTACAATTACTTTTTTTTACCTTTAATCTATTAGCTAATCTAGAAAATTAAATCAGGATAATTAATCTACCTTGATAAATAATTGATTTATAATTAACTGTTAAATGAATTAAATGTTATTAGTGAAAAGTTTGTTTTTTTTTATCATTTCCTTAATTTTAATCTTTGAACACAATTAGGATTTGGCTCTGGATTAGACTGATAATAATATTAATCTCAATTTCCAACAAAAGGATAATGTCAAGCTAATTGTCAAGCTTAATTGTGTTCAATTGCTCCTCAATGATTGGCTAGTTAACTAACAATCAATAGTGAAAAATACATTAACAATTTATTACTTTTCTCATTGAATTTCACCCAACTAATATTACAGAAAAAAAAACTTTTCTTGAAGTGATTCCAATGCTGATGATTATTATTATTATTATCATCATCATGATTAAGATTATTGCAATTACAATTAAGGTTGAATGTTAATTTTGTCTTAATCACGTTGATATATAAAATTAACTTAACAAGTTTAAATTTAAAGTAACCATTTAGCTGAAAAGTGAATCAGATTTACCATGAAAAAAAACAAGCTTCATGATATTAAGCCTTTTGAATGGGTTTTCCTGAATCCTTTTTTTTTATTCCTATGAAATTGATTATATTAACCAGGAATTAAATTTCAATTACACCTTCAATTGAACCTTTAATTGAAGTAAACTCACCAAGGAGTAGTATCATTATTATATAATTTCATGATTATATTTGTTAATAATACGATAATTTAAACATGATGAGGATAATAATGATTAGGATGATGATGATGATGATGATTCTGGTTAACATTATCTCTTGTTTTTTTTATCACTGAACAAAAAAAAACTTGTTAATCATTTGGGAAATGATGATGATGATGATTAGTTTTTTATCCTCTGTATTGCAAATCCATATAAAAAAGGTTCTAAAATGTAATATATTATATCATTAGTAAGGGAAATTTATATTTACAGGTACATGAATAGGTTACCTTTATGTTGACCTGGTCAGTTTACAAAGGGTAGGGAAGGAAAAGATGAGGATGGAGATGATGATGAAGATAATCTGCTCTTTCATCAGATTAAGAGGAGAATGAGAGAGAGAGAGAGAGAGAGACATTCACTGGTTATTTTTTCTTCTTCGATCATCATCATTATCATCATCTTCTTTCCAGAGTAAATTATATTTCAATCTAATGGGAGTTTGAATTGGAGAAATTTTTTCTTCTCTATCAATTTATTATTCTTAACTTGGTGAACAGGTAAATGGCTTTAATTAGATCGCCAATGATACCTTTAAGGGGCTATTATTATCATCCGGATATTTTTTTATCTCCATCAACATTGATTTTTGGTTCCAACCTACAGTTTGAATTGTATTTAACTTTTTCTCTTTCTCATCATCTTTATCATCTCTCCCTCTCCCTCTCTCTCTCTCTCTCAATCTACAATGATGATAATAATAAAAAGCTCAACTATGATCCCTTTTATCAAACTCACTTATCAGTCACGATTTCACAGCAAATCTCCCGTCTCTTCATCAGCTTTCATCTCATTCTCATCCCAATGATGATGATCATCATAATCAGTTAGTTTGCTGATAGATGGAAACAACAACAAGAAAAATAAAAAAGTTATTATATTATTAATAATAAACAAATAGAAAAACAGAAAATGCTGATAATAGTTACCTTTTAATTCAGTTCTGGAAATTGGTTATTACAGATAATCCTGATTTTCAGGTATCACATTGATGATCGGTCAATGTTCATCTCTCTCTCTCTCTCTCTCTCTCTCTCTCTCTCTCTCTCTAACTCATCCGTTCACCTTTCCTCATGTTTATATTTACAATTAAATACGTGAATCAATGATTATCATGATGATGATATTAATAAAAAGTAATATTAATGATAATGGTTTTTTGTTCAGCTTAATTTATATTGTAAACATACAGGTAGTCAGTGTGAGTGGTAAGCTGCAAAGTGTGTGTGTGTTGTTAATAATAGCAATGATTACATGGTAATTATTGGAAACAAGAAGATAATCAGCTAATCAGTTAATCAATTGATTGTTACCTTATAGACAATAATCATTTAGATCAATTGTTTTTTGTTGTATTTATAAAAGAGGATAAGATTACTAATGTAGATGAGGAGGAAACCGTTAACCACGATATTCACAAATACTGACCGTTAATTGTTTGGGTTATTGATCAGGTAATTGTTGAAATGAAAAACAGGAAATATATAAAACTGAACATTAACTTAATTATAACTTGAGACCTTAATTATTATTCAATTAACTTTTGATTGTTATTACTTTTTGTTTAAAAAGAGTAACAAATAACCAATGGTCAGTTGCCTTTTCATCATTTACATAAACCTGAATGGTTTTTCTGGTTACCTTGATAATTATTATGATGATTATCATGATGATCGTGATAAAATGTATCTAATATTTATTACAATTAGAAACATTGAAGTTAATCATCAATCTAATTTGATTATCATCATTAACTGTCAACCAGAAATTGTCCCTTTCAAATAGGTAACAACAATCAACTGTTGATGATTGGAAATTGAATGAAACGAAAAAAGAAACAAAATGAACCGTTAATTATTTACAATTAACTGTACTAACACTTAAAGAGAGTTAATTGTAACAATCAACAATCAAGAAGGAAAAAAAAATTAACCAAATGAATAAATGAATAAATGAATGAATGAACTTGTAACTATGGAAGCGAAAAGAAAAGTTAATTTTGTTTTTCTTTATTTAATCTAATCGAAATATTTATTTCTCTCTCTCACCTTAATTCTAATTATCTTGTCAATCTGATGATAATTAACTTAATTATCACAATTTAGCTGTGGAATGAAACAAAGTTGTCTAATCGCCGCGACCAGCGCCTACTTTGGCGATCCCTGCCCAGAGACACCTAAATACCTTGAGGCACAATATCAATGTTTACCAGGTAAGTCACTTAATCCATTAAATGTTACATAAAGATGAACCTTTTTTTTTCATCATGATCATCATCAGCTTATCTATTAAAGAAGTAATTTTCTCTCTCTCTCTCTCTTCTCTAAAATCTCAACTGACCAATGGTCAGTTCTTTATACATAAAAGAAGAAAAGAAAAAGATCAAATAGAAATAAAGAACAAAAAGAAAATCTTACCTTAATTTAACTTTCTTTTTTTCTATGGTCAATATTTATTTAGAACCATTATTATCCATTATCAATGTAATTCTTTACTTATCATCATATTTTCATCTTTCAGACAGAAAAAAATTCTATTCTCTACCTGAGTGATCCAGATTCTCTCTTTTTTTATCATTTTCTTTTCTTCATCCTCATCTTTTTTTCTCTCTATGTAAACTTTGCATATTCACCTTGTTAATATCTTGTTACCTATTATTTTGTAATAATATTAAGATTATCAAGAGAAAAGTTTCTCATCTCTCTCTCTCTCCCTCTCTTAGCGTGAGTCCATTGTTGTCCATTGTTGTCCATTATTAGTCTCTTATTATTGAATATTAATATTACTCTAATAAGCATTAGTCTCTCTCTCTCTCTTCCTTGTTATCTTCATCTTTTTACTGACCCGTTGTCATCATTATCATAATTCTGAGAGTATTGATAATTTCGTCGTAGTAAATGTCCAATGAATATCAGTTGGTTTCTTTTTTATCTTGGTCTAAATTTGCGATAACTTCCCAGGGGGAATATTAAATTCTAATAAACATGAATATCTTTTTCTTATCCGAAACTCCTATGGAGATTCATCTCATCTACCTATGAAGTCTCGTGAAGAGAAAATGTATTGGAAATTATTTTCTTTTCTTCCTCATCCTCATCATCTTCATCTTTCTAACAAAAAGGTCAGGTTAAAAAGCCATTTATCAGAAGATTACCTTTCACTCTTATCAATCCTCTTACCTAATCTCTCAGCTGAGTGATTACCTGAGTTGCTAATAAAAAACAAATTCACAATTTATGGAAACATTTTTTTTTCATTACCTCTGTGATTAGGGTCATATTATTATCCATATGCATAATATATACTAATACCTGAGTCTATTACATTATTAGTATTATGATTATTACAGATTATAAGATTTTCTTTTTTTCGAACTTTTTTTATTCTCTTTTTTTTCTCTGTCTCTTCATCTAAGCTTCTTTTCTTTGACGTTCCTTTAAAAAAACAAGGTATTAGTCCCATTGCCATACCTTTATTTTTGCACGAGTTTTGTTTTCCATCTTATGAGATTTACCTTTTCTTACCTTGATATAAGTGTATGAGTGTATCCTGATCAACAACAACAACAATAAACAAACTTGAACGTGTTTATTTTGAGTTAACTGGTTATCCTTTTGCTTTCAGGTTCATTTTGCAAATCGTTTGTTGTTATTGCCTTCACTTTCTCATTCTCTCTCTTTTTCTCTTTCTTTTTATTCGCTAATCCGATAAACTGTCCCATTCTTTACGATGGTCATTACTATCATCTTCAATCTCTTTGAATTAGAAATTAGATATTAGAACAAATTCTGATAACAAAGTCCTTCATTCGACTTTTCTCTCTCTCTCTCTCTCGTTTTAATCCCTTCATCTGTTTATCAGTATTCTCTCTCTCTCTCTCTCCTGGTCGATTCATATTCGAATGGATCTCACATTGAGTCTCTGTCTCTTTCGCATTCACACCGATAATCCTCTTCGACATCATCTTCTTATTTTCTCATCTATTTAATCTTTAATCTTCTCCTTTCATTTTTACATTCTTCTTACTGTCAACACAATCTTTTCATAGTTCTAAACTTTGCTTAACTTTTTCTCTCTCTTTTCTTTCAAATGTTTACTCTTTTTTTCCTCTTCTATTGTTAGAATGTTTTCCTTTTGCATATTTTACTCTCTCTCTCTCTCTCTCCATCTTCATCCATCAACAATTTGCTCTACTTTCTCATCATCAACATCATCATCATGATCCAGTATCAATTTCCCTTCTTCCGAAACTTCCCTTTCCCTTTCCGTTTCCATATATTAATAACATTTCAGAATCTAATTTACCACCATAACCATAATAATAACAACATGAAACATCAAACATCAAACTGAACAATTTACATTCTTAACATTCATGATACCCAATGAATTTTCATGGAAAAATATAAATTGAATAAAAAAATTTTCACTCTTCTTTCATGATGGTTAGTTTACCCTAGATAATAATAATGAATTAATCGTATCAAGTGATAAAGTTTCAATATTGAAAATGATTCTTTTGTCTATTGACAATTTATTAAACATGAGACTTGGAAAATGATGATTAATTGTGAGACATTATTTTGATGAAGATGAAGAATAAGATTTACCTTGAGAGAGAAATGATTAAACTAATATTAATTGATTTTCTTTTTATATTCTTTTTGTTTTGATTATCAAGACAATCAAAAGAAACGATATCGATGGCAGTCAACAACCCCGAGAAGTAAATTACCTGGCAAACCATTATCATCGCCATCATCATCATCATCATCATCTTTAGCATCTTCATCTTCCTCATCCTCCTCTTCTTCAATTTCAACGGTGCCTTCAATATCTCAGACACCACCAACATCATCCTCATCTTCATCTGAATTACTTAAACCTGATTCCCTTGAATCAAACCATGTTCATCCCAATGCCTCAAACATTGAAAATTCAATGAAAAATGGGTTGACACACCTAAACTCAGGTTATTCAGTAGCCGCAGGAACGTCAACACGTAATAATAATGATGATAAAATCAACAACAACAACAACAACACAACATCCAGAATCTATTTAGATACAACTTCATCTTTAACCAAATCAGGGGCCAAGAATAATTCAATTGAGTTGAGGTTACAATCTCAATCATCGGGATCATCCTCTTTATCCTCATCTTCATCATTATCTTCAGGCTTATCATCATCATCAACTTTATCACCTTTATCATCAGGTAAATCAACAATCTCATTAGCATCATCATCTATAAGCTCAAAAGGATTAATACCAACAACAACACCAATAATCCAAGAATCATCAACATCAAAAGGATTAACTGGTAATCAAAATTCAGGTTTATCTTCATCACCTTCACCCTTGACCATTGGTAAGGTGACCAATGATTTTGATGATCGACCCATTTATATTAAGCATCCTCATCCTGGCTCATCACCTTTTTCATCAATATCATCATCATCTTCATCTTCATCTTCATCACCGGAAATTTCAATCATTCCGTCAAGTCCGTTAGATTCATCAGCACGAAGTAAAAGTGACCTACATTCACCTTACTCATCTTATCATAAAAGTCAATCAATTAATTCAGGTTCATCCGTACCTTCAGCCGGTGAATCTGATTACTCAAATACCTACGAATCGCCCTCATCATCATCATCATCATCATCATCGTCCAATGTTAACATTGAAACCGATAAATCTGATAAAGTTTCATCAAGTGATCCTGAATATGATGAGGCTTCAATTTTCATCCGACATCCTCATCCAGGAATGATTCGTGATCCCTCATCGTCCTCATCATCACCAACAACAATTAAACCAGTGTCACCTACACAATCAACAGGTTATGATGATCAATGGATTAAAATTAATCCTGGTTCAATGATGATCAACGAAACAACTAATCAATTATCAACCGATTCATGGTTATCAAATAATCTATCATCTTCTAATATGGTTACCGGTGTTGTTTTCGCTCTTGGTGCCGCTCTATCGGCACTCGGTGTCTTCTTTTACCTTTATATTCGTGATACTAACATTAAATCACGATTCTGGTCACTGGCATCAGCGCTTAACGGTAAAATTATCTGTTCCCGTAACATTGGACCAATGGAACCTGGTGCAAGTTTAAAAGATGATGTTTCCACCCTTCGTAAACGAGGTGGTCATCTAATCTCGGTCACACCAACTTCTAAATATATGTCCAGTGAGAATGCAGCTCATTATATTCGTGATCCAATAATCGGTCCTGGATCGGGATCAACGCTCAATGTTATCAGTCCATTAGGTGTAAAGTACCTTCTTCCCGGAAATGCAAGTTCAAATTTAGGCTCATCAGTGAAAGATTTGACTTATGGTTGTGCTCAATTAATGGACACACTTACAACACCATCATCACAGCAACAGCAACAACAACAACAACAATTTCAACTTCAACAACAGCAACAATTAATCAATCATCAAACTCTTTCATCTAGAAATCAAAATCTTCTAGGTGTAAGTTTACATCAACATCCTCATCATCATTTACGTTCATCAGCTGGTTTACCCTTGCCCATTGGTCTAGTGGTTGAACATGTATATGAATGTATTGATGATGATCCATACACAGCTAAATTGTTCATGCCGGTTGATTGTGAATCAAATAAATACCAACGGAGAGACAATTCAATTTACAATGGAGGTGATTTCATGTTACCAATAAGTAATCACCACCATCACCATCACCATCATCAGCAACAGCAGCAACAACAACAACAACAACAACAGCAACAACAAATGCAATTACAATTGCAACTTCAACAACAATCAACTGATTTAGCGACAACTCTTCAAGCTTTACCTGCAATTGTTCAGGAAAATGTTTCAACAACCGGAGGAGTTCAGATGACAATGAACACCAGCAATTCCTCAAGCCTTTCACAAGCAAATTTAACCAACAATTCCCACCCTCATTATCAACTAGGCTTTGCCTGTTATCCTTGTCAATCTCAGGTAGCATCTTATATCAATAAGGATCGTATTGATCAACAATTACGTGAAAATTTATCGACAATTAACTCAATAGATTCACGAAGACCTGAAATTGTTTGAGATTGTTTTCTCCAATTCTCCAACACCATTGATTGTTGTTCTCTTGTTAATTGTTGTTGTTATTTTCTTCTCTAATTTTTGGAGAAGAACAAAATTTTCCAAAAATATTGTAAATATTTTCTATTACATAAAATCTTGTTGAAAGAACTTTTTTTCTACCAAATTCCTGTTGGATTTTATCATCACCATCACCATCATCATCGTCATCGTCATTCTCATCAATTATCATCATCGTTGCTCAAATATCTTCCCCAATGGAAAAGTGTTAATCTGCCAAAAAAAAGTTTTCCAAACAATTTAAAGACGAGGATTAATTTGCTTGCTGCCAATTTAAATCACTGATGATGGTCACACTTATTGTAGATATTAATTGTAAATCATTTTTCTAAATTGCTCCTTAATTGCAATTGTATTATTATTATTATCGAACCTTTAATTTATATGAATCAATGTGTACATACAAAACATTAGCACAATGTGCCAGCTAGTTCACCTTTAATTATCATCACCATTTGTTTACATCATTTTTGTCAACCCAAACGTTTTTATGTGTTGACCAATTGGATTGACCAATCAACTGATTATTGGATAATATTGATAATAATAATAAGGATTAAGGATGAAAATGAGTAAACAATATTGACCATTTGCCCTTAGGATATAATAACTTGTAAATCTGTGATATTTTTTTTTTCATTATCAACATTTAATTGACACTTAAATACACACACGTTATGAATGAAGCAAATTTAATAACAATGTCATTCCTAAATTAAATGATTTAATTGTTGTCATTAACTTTTTTATATACTAAAACTATTATTAATTAACTTAATTCGCGATACTAATTAATAATAACGGAATCAATTGATTGATATTATTGTTTATAATAATTCAAATCCTCGGATTTGACTTTCGGAAATCAGAGTTTGACAACAATTGATTAACCTAATCAAATGATGAAAAATTAATTATTTAACTTTATGATTGGTTTTAATTGTTGTTTACTGTCAATCTATTATTAATAATTGATTGTAATCATTTTCTTTACTCTCTAATTATATACATGAAAACATTGTGACTTTAATTATTATTATTCCCAATGTATATATACTTAATTATTACGAATCTCAAGAGGTTAATTAACCGATCCCTGTTTCCTTAAATACATAAATTTTGTAATTAAATCAACAAATCCGATTCCCACCCTGACCTTACCTTCAACATCATCTTTCTTGTACCTGTAGCATCATCATCATCATCATCATCATCACCCACTTTGCTGACTTGAGGTAATACAGAGTAACATATATATATGGTGTAATGGTATAACAATTAAATTGATTGTTTACAAATTTTACAACAATCAAGAAACCAAAGTAGAAAAGGTAAACGGAAAAGGAAAAAGAATCTAATTTTTTTTTGTTTACCCGATTCACTTTCATCTGATACGTTTCTCCATCTATTATCTTACCTGGTTGGTTATTCATCATCATCATCATCATGTAGGAAGATGGAAACAATAAGATGACAGAATGTTTTTACTATCATCATCATGTCTCTCTCTCTCTCTGTTCAGGATGATAATCATCATTTCAACCGGACGTTTTCACTAATGATGATGAATTTTTGTCTCTCTATTGCAAATTCTGGAAGAGACAAAAAAAAATAACACCAAATGCTCTGGAAAAGGTCAAACAATTGTCTTCCTCTGGTCATTATCTTCATCATGATGAAACTCTCTCTCTCTCACTCTCACTCTATGATGATGATAATGATAATTATCCTGCTTATATGTAATAATAATATCATAAACTTTGTTTAGACTTCATTTCTGTGATAATCAAAATCAACATGATAAAGTTGCTTTTACATGCTCATGAAATTTGCTATCTAACAAGAAAATATAATAAAAACAATCAACATATGATGAAAAATATCAACAGTGTCAACTTTTTATTTCATCATCATCATGTTCATCATGATAAATTCATTTCCGGATAAAGTTTATTACTCATACATATGATACATAAAGGATGCGGATAATAATTATTGCTAAACATGGTTAATGATGATGAAGATAATAGTTAATCAAATGAGATATTAAAAAAATAAACTTCCAACAGCAATCATGATAATGTTAAAGGTAAATTGTTATACTTAACGATGTTAACAGTTACTTTTATTGTTTGTCAATTGTTGAGCTAAATTGTTGAGAGTAAAGTTAATTAAGAGTTGATATGTTTTTCTCATTCAATTTACCGTTACATTAATGGAGAGAAAGTTTTGTTTTTTTCTTCTCCATTTCTTTTCACCAATCGAATACAAATGAGGAAAAAAAAGAACTTTTTTTCTACTTCTTTTCTCTCTTATCATCCTCATCTTTTCATCTTGTGTTTATTGTCTTCCTTTTGGGTGATGATGATGATAAATATTATCTAGGTTAAGGTTTATCGTCAAGATGATTAATAATAATAATGATTATCCCAACAATTGAAATCTAATTTAGTCTTGTAACCAATTCAATTTTTCTCAGCGATTTGGATCTACATTCATGTTATCATTAAGATTTGATTATGAGGCGACAATTTATTGATTGTAGCTCGCTAATGATGGTAAAGATAATCAAGTTTCAAACGATTCAGTAGAAGAAAAAAAATCATCACCAAAGCGAAAAACAAATAACAAAAAAGTTCAACTTTTCTAAACACAATTTATCATCTCCATCTTCATATTCAGTCCTGATGATAAAAACTGAGGCCTCTGGTTGAAATTAACTTTGATTTGAAAAATGTATCAAAAACTTTTTTCAAAGTGAATGCAATTTAATAATAAGATGATTCATTTAATGATGATGATGATTTTTAACAACGTTGACGATTAAATTTTGTCTGCTCCTCACCGATAGGTAATAATCATGCTAATAATGAACGATAATGATAATAATAATGAAGCCAAAATGACCTGAGAGACATCAAGTTAAAAGCCACATTGAAACCCAAACTATTTTGCTAAATTGAAGATGATTAACAGAAGCTCTCTCTCTCTCTCTCTTCCTACCTTTATCATCCTCATCATCTATCCTTGGATGATGATGATAATGATTTTAACTTTAAAGTTGCTCTTTCTCCCCTCTTTCCTTTAGCTCCTTGGGTCTCATTTACCAGGTAAATAGTTTCAACTTTTCTCGAGGCCACAAATAGAAAAAAAAAATATTATCATGATAATATTTCGTTGTAATGACCGTTGGCCCTCTTGTCTCTCTCTCTCTCTTACATTCTCTCTCTTTCTCTCTGTATTCCTTTTTTTGACAATCATCATTATCTTCATCATTTTCACCCAAACTCATCGTTAGCTCAAAACCAACGAAACAAAAAAAACTTTTCTAAAACCAAAGAATCAAATGTATAAGTTTACCTTTCACCTTCACCTTTTATCATCAACAGACTAAGTTAACGATAACTATCATCATCATCATCATCACAGGTACATCATACTCTCTCACTTTGCACAAACAACAACAACGACACATCATTACCTTAGCACTAAAAATCTCCAAGGTGATTCAAATCTCTCTCTCTCTCTCTTTTCATCTCTCATCCATTTCCTTTCTCTCAAAGTTTTTACCTTTTTTTAGCAACTTTTTTTGTCTTCAAATATCATTACACTTATTATCCTTCATCCTCATCATCATTATCATTATCTTCATCATTACTATTATTATCATCGTCTACTTTTATCATTATATTGTACCTTGTATCTTTTTTTTCACTTTTACTCCTTAATGTGTTTTCCTCATCTTCCTCTCCACAAAATCCTACCTTTCACTCATTCAGCTCATCATCATCATCATCATCAACGATATCATAAAATTTACCTTGTTAACTTATCAATGAGCACTTTACCTGAGCTCAAAAAAGGTAACATTGATAATCATCATTAAGCTCAATCAGGCAGAAACATTTCATCATATTTATCATCATCATCATCTCAAACCTCATCTTCATCTTTATCCCTAAAGGTTACAAAGGTTTCACTTTAATAATAGAGATCACTAATTGTTAAATAATAAATTCAGTTCACTTACGACAATAATTAACTCACAGTAAACAAATCAAATGATATATTTAAATGTAATATATAATCATCAACATTAGTAAGATAAATAACTTACAATCTAATCTTGATATTACATCATTAACTTAATAATTAATTAGTATCAACATTAATAAGATATTAATTACTATTAACATGAAAATATTACAACTTTTTGTTTTCATCACAATCTTTTATTAATAAGTTATTGATCTTACAATTGATTACAATCAAACAATAATAATAATAACAACAACAACAAGGTAACAAGAAAAGTTAATTGTAATTGCGAAAAGTGATTAAAATTTTGTTAATCTAAATATTAATGATCAGTGTTGATTATTATTAAATTGCTGTGGCTTCCACTCAATGGAAAGTGTGATTTAGTTAACCTTGGATAGTTAACTTAATATTATTATTTTCGGTTCCTTATCAACATTTATAATCAACCATTAACTTAACAATCAACTAATGAAAGTTGAACTAAATTGTTGTTACCTGAATATAATTCACGATGATGATGATGATGATATTGTTTTTGATATATTATCTTGATTACAATTACTATTAAAAGTTAATTTAATGTTGATAAAATATAAGCGCTTTTGTTTTGGTAACATTAATTTTCTTGCTTTGAGAAGGTTTTTTTTCAATTCACCTTTAATTAAGGTCTATTTTGAATGTTATCAATTAATGATCCTGATCATGTTAGTTAACCTTGTTAATTAAGTTTAGTTGTGATCATTATTTAGCTCAAGTTTGTTGTTCCTTTAAAGTTTCACCTTTTTCTGTAAATTAACAAACATATATTCACATATATAGACATTAGGATGGCGATGATGATGATGATGATGAAGATTGAGCTGAGTGATAAAAGATGAGGGATAAATGAGCAAGATGAAATGATGATTAAGATGAAATTGTTTCACTCAAAGTTATACATAATAATGATCATCATATGTGTGTGTGTGTATACATAAAGTAGTAAATTTTTATGTGTCACATTGGTGATATAAGATAATGTCATTGTTGTTGTTGTTGGTGATGAGGATAAACAGGGAATGTAATATATGTTATGTCATCAGGAATAAGATGAAATCATCTTTGAGTCAGAAAGAAAGTGACATTTGCAATATTATCTTCATCTTCTTGGTTTACTCTCTTTCTGTAAATGGTTACTTATTGTTAAATTTTCTGCAATCATCTCAATAGAAACTGAATGATATTAATACAAACAGTCAGATATTTACTGTTGTCCATGGAAACACTGAGAGAAATGTATGTTTTTCCAGCAACCTAAAAACCCAAGAATCTGTGAGTAAATATTTACAATGAATAAGAAAAAAAATCGAGGGTGGAAAGTGGGAGTGGGAAAAGGTATTGTCACAAGTAATATGTGTTCAGCATGAGAATAGAGAACAAACTTCCTTCTTCTTCTCTGCCTTTTTTTGCTCTCTCTCTCTCTCTCTCTCTCTCTCATCCTCATCTTTTTCTCTTTTCTCTCTTCTCTTGTTTATGTTGTTCTGCTTCTTCCTTGTATCTTTCTTAGGTTTTCTCTACTTTTCTTGGTTCGTCTTCATCTTCTTCTTTTTCGTCTCTTCCTGTGAGATGAACTTTCTGTTTTCTTTACAATATTAATGAACACAGAAAGAGAAACATAGAAAATTGAAGAAAATTTTACAACAAATACACGTTATGTTATTATTCACTGATGATCGTCATGATTACATTTCATTTGCAACTTTTGCTTCTTCTCGGTCATGATGATTGTCCATTCGTAATGATCATGTTAAACTGATTCCACGAGTGAATGTTGTAAATGTGAATATCCTGTTACTCTGATATCCTTTACCATCTCTTTATCATCATTTTCATGTTTTTTTTACTTCATTTCATTATCGTGAACAGTTCATCTTCTCAGACTTTGCTACTGAATAACATCATGTTTACGGATTAGAACATGAACTAAATATCGAACTACTTTTTCCGATTTTTTTCTCATTCTTAAGTGTTTTTCAAGGATAACCCTCTCTCTCTCTCTTTCTTTCTTTCTTTCTCTCTCTAGTATGTCATGTGAACGAAAAAATCTAACTGATCATCAAGTATCATTTTCTGATGATAATGATGATGATGGTTGATGATTATTTCCGTGACTCCATTTTCTAAACTACTTTTTCCTCGATATACCAATAAAAAAAACGATGATGACGATAGCGATGTATTAATATTTAATGCTAAAGAAAAGAAAGAAAAGAAAGAGAAAATATTAGAATCGTCAGCGAATCAAAAAATCAAATCAAGTCCCAAAAGAAAATGTTTAAATGATTTAACATCATTTCCATCATCATCAATACGAATAAATAAATTAGAAAATGATAAAAAAGATGATGATGATAATGATAAATTTATATATATAAAATAAACTTGACCGATAGTCAAAGTCCAGAACAGAATAGAAATTAAATTGTTGAGCTTTGATTTACCTCATTTTCTAAATAGTGTTTGATGCAAAAGTCATCAATCTACTGATCAACAAACTATTAACTAAATTGTTGATTGTAAGATGAAAAATTGGGTTTTGTACTTCTCGCAATTGAAATCAAACTGTAAATTGTTTGATGAAGTAGCTTTTGGGCCTTTTCTCTTCAACTATTCAATTTTGACTACAATTCATTATGATTATCATCATCATCGTTATTATTATTAGTTAGCAGTATTATAGTGATTAGTATGATGATGATGATGATGGTGATGGTGTTAGTATGGTTTTAGATTATAATAGAATAGAAAAAAAAATTGATAACAATACATTCCAAGATGATTATTCCGCAAAATCCAGGTAACTTCATGTGTCTCTTTCTTCATCATCTTATTTATCAGTTTATCTCCATCCTCATCCTCTTTTTTTACCGATAATTAATAATAACTGATTTAAGAGGAATAAGAAAAAAAAAGTTATTCCATTATTATAAATCATCTTATCACTATTTATCTTGGGATTATGATGATGATGATGATGATCAACAAAATGAGCAAAATTTTGACGTTTAATTTTATCCTGTGAGTTGACGTTTGAGTGAAGTGCTTATTTAATATTCTGATGGGTCCGTGAATGTGATTTACCTGTAAAATAAACACAATATATTAGAAAACTTTTTTCTTTTTTTAATATTGGTACAATGTTGAAACAAATCTTTTTACCTTTTTGGCTCAATTCTCATTCAATATGATAAGTGAGCTTTTTACCTTAGGTTAATAAGGTAAACATTATTTATAAAAAGTAACCAGTTACCTTAATCGTTATTAACTGTGTTGGGATAATGAAAAGAGAGAGAGAGAGAGAGAGAGGAAGAAATAAGATGATGAAGTTTTGACCATGTTAAGGTGAAGTGATGAGGTTGATGATGGAGAGACATAATGAATATATGAACCATGCAAATGATTATCATAAATGTTGATCCGGTTTAAAAAGTTTCTCCTGACAGGTAAAGCTCACTCACTCTCTTCTCTCATAATCAAATTTATATCTAACGAAACAGTTCGTTGAACATTAAGGTAAAAATTTCTTCTTACCTAGGCCTTAGCTCTCTCTCTCTCTCTCTCTCTCTCTTTCTTTACTTGCCCATTGAACTTACATATAAATACATATCACTTTAGGTCTCATATTATTAGCTTGATTTCTCCTCCTTCTTTATTGCTTGATGGTGATGATGATTTTCATCTTCTTCATTTTTCCTTCATTTCACAGTTGGGTGACGGTGACGTTTTCCTTGTAAATTTTCATCATTTTGATTGGAAAATGCAGAAATCGTGAATAAGCAAAGCTGAAAATTAACTGAAAAGAAAGAAAGAAAAAAAAATAAGGAGAGAAAATAATTTGGGAACATGTTAGAAAGGGCGTAACCCTCAAGAAAACCCATCAGTGGTTTTCTTGTTTTCTTCATCTATTTTCCCAACAAAATGAATTGAAAGTTTTTACCTGAGTGAGCTGCTAATGATAATCATCATCAATACTCACACTAACGTTACCCCGTTACGGTAAACTGTGGACTTGGTCTAATTATTGGCCTCATTTCTTTGGTTTCTCTTTCTATCATCATCTTCCTATTGATCATTTCCTTTTTTGTTTCTCTTCTTCTTTTACTTATTTACTTTAACCTTTTTTCTCTTCCATTGAAATTCATCAACAAACTTCCACAACGAATTGATTTATCTTCTAAGAAAATGAGTTCATTTTACATAGAAGAAGATGAAGAATAAGAGAAAAGGTTCAAGGTTTACCTTTTTCTCCAAACTAATCAATTCTTTTTATTCTACCAATGTTGAGAGAGAGAGAGAGAGAGAGAGTTTATAAATTATCAATTTGCTTGAATTTTTCTTGTTTTTCTGCAATTGTGTTTAAACTCAAATCGTGCAAAATGATAAAAAAGATGATGATAATTACAATGTTGATGATGTTTTCCAATTGCTCAGTGAAGACTTGCAAAGGTCTTTTTGATTGACAGAATCATTAGGGCTAAAGAGAGAGAGAGAGAGAGAGAGAGAGAGAGAGAGAGAGAGAGAGAGAGAGAGAGAGATAAAAAGATTAGTATTATTCATAAGAAAAGTATAGTAAGAATTAAAATGATAATTGTAATGAGAAAGAATAACTAATTAACCAAAATCACTAATTTAAATGTAATTAACGGGTAACTGATCTTTAAGAATCTTCCAGGTTAATCTCTTATAAGATCTCACCTGAAATATTACCTATGAGATTCTAATTTCTCTCTTATCCATTTTCTTAATACTCTTGACTGACCTTTTGATGAGAAAAATATATTGATTGAATTGACAGGTAGCTTGAAAAAGAGGAAAACATAAAGATGAGAAGATGAGAGAGCAAGAGAGAATCTTCTTGAGGTGACCAAGGTGTCTTCTAATCTGTCAATTGATCTGTTAAGAGAACGAGAAAAAGAAAAGGTAAAAAAGTGATAAACTGTTCGAGTGATTAAAGGTAATCTAAGTAAACTTATTATGTCTTTCATTAGATGTTGATGTATTCGTATTGGATACATAATACATTAGATAATAATAAGTTTTACTCTTTGGCCAGGATATTATTTTTCGCCACAATCTTGTTAGATTTTTCATCTTACCTTTCTCAGTTTCCTCTCTTTCTATCCCATTATCATAATTATCATCATCTCCTTCTTCAGCCTCCGTTGATATCTTTTCCTAAGGTGAGTATTTAAAAACTATCATTTCTTTTTCTCTTGTTTATAAAGATTCTCCACCAATGTAAAAGAGTAGCAAATGATAAGTATAATGATAGAAACACTCTCATCCTCGGTTGGAGACTTTTTATCACCCTCAAGGACCGGTCTTCAGGAGAGCTCTTTTCGTAGGGATGTTCCAAACGGAGAGAGAGAGAGAGAGAGAGAGAGAGAGAGAGAGAGAGAGAGAGAGAGAGAGAGAGAGAGAGAGAGAGAGTTTAGCTAAAAAAGAAAGAGAAGAAAATAAGATGACGATAAAAAACAAGAGATAGAAAAAGAAAAACAGGAGATGAGGATAAAAAAAGGGAGGGAAAGAAATGAGAAGATGGAGAAAAAAGGCTGATGGGCTAACATTATGAACGTCTCTCTTTTTTTTCCTTCTCCTTGAGTCTGACCAGCATCGCATTTCATTGTGCTTGTCTTACGTTTTTTTTCTCGCCTCAGGTATTAAGAAGTCTGTCTTGATGGCAGATCAATTTTGGTGAAGCTTTGGTCCTGCTGTGAGAAGCCCTCTGGTCTGTTTGTTGCCTTTAAAAAGAGCAGAATATAAGGTGGGCAAGAATTGAAACTGAAAAGAGAAGAGAAAAAAATTAGAAAAAAAAGGAGATGAAAAAAACATATAAACGAAATGATGTAAGATGGAGAGAGAGAGAGAGAGAGAAGAAAAAAGTTAATGATTAGCAGGAAAAGGGATTAGAAGCTTGTATGTAATGTTTATCTCTACAAATGATTGTGGAACAATCAGACTTTAAGCTTGTTAATAGTTGGAATAGAAGAGAAGAGAAAAAGAGATAAAATTGGTCAACACTAAAATTGAACTTTAAAATTTACCTGAATCGTTGCTCTGGGTTATTGAAGAAAAGTGTGTATATCTACTGAAATGATTCCATTTCAATCTCAAGATTTGGAGCAAGAGAGAGAGAGAGAGAGAAAGAAAAGAACTTGGAACCAGAAGTATTACAATTTTTCTCTTCAATTTCAACAATATGTTTCCCTGGACGAGGAAAAACAATTACTTGAAGAAAGAAAATGAAAGAACCAATTGAAAGCCAAAAAGAGAACCAGAAATTTATGTTTGCCAATGGAAAAATATGGAAACAAGAGCCTGGGTATCAGAGAGAAAAAGAGAAAGAGAGAGAGAGAGAGAGAATGACATGAGAGATTATTCAAGTCAATGAGATTCATTTCATCTTAACCAGACCAAATATCTCGTTCCATGAGACATTATAACAGTTTCCAGAGTCTTTCAAGTCCAAAAGATAAGTGGAAATGTGAAGAAAATGATCCAAGGTGTAATAGAAAACCAGAGAGAGAGAGAGAGTCTATAACCAAATTCTAAATACGCTTAGTAACCAAAGACGAAGAAGGGGGAAAGTGAATGCCAAAGATTATTACTCGGAAGGAGAAGAAGATCTAAATGTAAAATAAGAAACAGGGAAGACAAGGAACCAAATTAAAAACCAGATAACCATAAAAATAACAGTAAAAATCACTTGACAATGTCAAGTTCACAAAGAGAGAAAAAGAGAGAGAGAGAGGGAAAAGAAATTGAGGAAGATGAGCCATGAGAGTTTTTCTTTTTTTCTTCCATTTTCTAGAGAGAAAATGTTCTCTTTAGATTGGAAGTAAATCTTTTCCAATCAAAGGGAAGAAAGAGAACTGTTTTAATTAATGATCACACGAAATTCTAAAAACAGGAAAGAACAATTAATTAATTAGAAAAAGAAATAAGAAATTCATGTAATTAAGAGAAAGAGAGAGAGAAAAAATTTGATGAGAAATCAATCAACATTCAAATGTTTCTCATTTGCCGGTTAATTGTTTTCGAATTTCACCAGCGCCATCTGGTGGAATCGATTAGAAAATCAATTAAATCGAAAATTAAAAAATTCAATTAATTGAGAAAAAAATTTTTCTTTTTTTTTGTAATTAAAAAATTCTAATCAAATGAGAGAACAATTAATTGTACATGTTATTTTCGGAAGGTGAAAATCAATCTCTAAATCCGGTTTGTTTTCATTTCTCTCCCAATGATTAAACATAAATTGTGATCTTAATCTTTGAAAAAAAAGAAACAAAATTCACTAATCAAAGTTAATTAAATTAGATTAGATTGTTAATGTGAGAGAATTTGCTAATTTTTTTTCTCTCACAATTAAAGAATCTCTTTCTCTTTTTGCTTAATTGTTGCTGCTGTTGTTACTAAATTAGTGAATTTCATTTCTCTCATATTAAAGAGTTAATTAGGTTTGACAATTAACAAATTATTCATATTAAAATCGGTAAGTAAAACAATCAAACAGAGTTAATTGTCAACAATTAGACAGTTATGAGTGGAATACATTGTATTATATGTATATATATATATGGAAAGTAATTAGTTGATTAATAATGAACGATAAGAAAAAAGGAAAAGTTAAATTGGGTTAATATTTGATTTCTTTTAGCGAATCAAAAGTTTGTCTGTTTAATTGTTACAACAATTTAACAAAAATGGTTAATCAAGTTTTCGGACTTAAACTGGACATGATTTAAGAGTGAATATAATATTTCCTGAAGGTAAGAAACTGTGAAAATCAACTAAATCAAATCAAATCAAATCAGTAGCTGAAAATGTTGTTGCTGTAGTTGATTATCATTAAAACTAAATTAACAATTTAAAAAGTTTGATTTAGTTTCTCACCAAGAAAAAAAAAACTAAACAAACTTTCATTCATTTCTTCAGGTACTCAGGTCAAGGCTACACAATCAATTGAAATAATCATGTAAACCGGGTGTGATTAAGATTATCATTATGATTATGATTACAATTTGGTAGCAATTTAATGAATAAACTGTAAGCAATTTACTTAATCCAGTAACAAGTTTATATTTATATCGAATCAACTTTTTTATTTATTAACCTTAATGATAACCCGAAACTTTTACCATAACAAAAAAGGTAAATTTTGATTCTTAACAAAATCATTTTCATTTGATTTCTTTTTCTCTCTCTCATTCTTTTCAATTTACTATCAGATTAATTTCTTACAATTAACAATCAACAAGTTGTGATTATTATCATGAAAGTAGAGAAGTAAAAAAAAATTGATTGATTTCTGTTGATTAGTTCAGGTTAATATCACATATCATGTATACGGAAAAAAGTATGTTAGGAGAAACAAGAGCAAATCAAATTGGAAGAAACTTTTTTTTTTCTTCTTCTTAATTAACTTTTGTTTTCTATCTAAATTTGATTGTAAACAATTAAGAAAATTGTCATACACTTAATTACGTTAATTTATGGTAATTTAGTTGGTTAATTGTATTGATGATTATTTGACAGGAGTAATTTTCCAATCTGATGATTATTATTATAACTTTTGGTATGGAGAAAATTATTCTTGTTCAAATTTCTTGTTGATAATCAGTCATCGGTGATGAACTTTTCAATTATCATCATGTAATTATCATGGAAATTAATCTGATAGGTAGATAATTAAGAAACTAATAAACAGATAATCAATTTAAAGTAAATAAATCATAAGGATCTCAATGGTTGATTATCAATTTTAAAATCAAAGTTTAAAATGAAATTTAGGAAATTGTTTCATTTACCAAAGCCCAAAGGTAATAAAGAATTAGTTTTCTTGCAATTAGTTAATTGTCTTATTATCACTTTTGCATATGATTAACATTAATTGCAATTTGATTTATTATTACATTTGCCTTACGAATCAAAGTTTTCAAAAACTTTTACCTGATAACTTATATAACTTTTTTCATGGATTAATCAATGATCTGATTTATTTATACCTCCAACTTATCGCAATCAATTAAATCAAACATCAATTACTAAATGATGATGATGATGAGGATGAGGATGAGGAAGATGATCCTGAGTTAGATTAGGAAAAGATGAAAGTAAAAACATTTTTGTAAAAAAAATCTGATGACAGGTAAGTAAAAAAAAGTAACTTTTTAAAAAGGTAAAAAAAAAGATGAAGATGAAGATGAAGATAAAGATGAAAATTTATGTTTACCTGATAATATGAACTGGTTTTCATGATGATCATCATGATGGTGAGAATCATTGGAATCATCATCATGTTTCAGTTGAAATAATATCACAATTGGTTAACCATAGAGAAGAAAAAGTTTCCATTGATTAATATTAGAGAGGAAAATATTTTTTTTCTTCATTCGATTTCATATTATTTTATCCCTATCGTTTATCTTCATGATAGATTTCACCCTAATCCGCCAAGAAAACTATTCAATGATGTTATTATTGTTCTCAAAGATCACATGGATTCCAGGGTGAAGAAAAGTTCTGATGTTATTATATTGGAAAAGAGAAGAAGAAGAAAAAAAAATGAAAATTTCGGTGAAAAATTCAGTTGAATAAAAGATGAAAATTCATCAGAACTTTTTTTTTCCTCTTCTCTATTGTTTTTTCCCCTTGTATATATAAAATCATCATGTTTGAAACTCATGAAACTGAATCAATAAAAGTAAATCATCATCAAGAGTCAATAAATTGTTGAGCAAATAAATTGTTACTTTAATTGCAAACTAAAAATAGTATTTGATCAACATTTAATTAACCTTTTAATCCAGTAAATTATTTATTTTTTTTGCCTCCTTGTAATCAGTTAAATGTCTTATCCGTTAATCAATCGTAATCCATTGATCATCATCAATGTGATAATCAATTAATCAAAGTTGATTGACTTACGACTTACTGACAATCAACAATCAAGGTAAATATTAGATTGCGATTAATTTGATTGAAATTTTGCTTAGACTTTCAAATGAAAAACTCTCATTAAAATAATAATTCAATTCTCAGTTAATCAGTAATCATGATAATCTTGTAACTGAATTAATATCATAGATTAACTATTATTCTGATGAATTTGAGTGATGATAATGATAGGAGACAAAGAAGATAATAATAAGAAGAAAAAAGTTCTAAAAAGAGAAAATCATGAAAAAGAAAAAGTTGTTTTCTCTTTCATCATCTTATTATTATTATTATTTTACTTCTCAAGAATCAAATCTTCCTCAGTGATTATCATTATCATTTCAATTCCAATTCAGTTTTTATCCATAAAGAAAAAGAATATAAAAAAACAAGTATCTATTATAATATCTATGGGTTCTGTTGTTGTTGTTGTTGTTGTTGTTACCTGATTTAATCGTGATGAGCCGATGAAGAAGATGATGATAACTTTGATCTAGAAGAATATAAAATGATGAGGATGATGATGAAGAGAAAGCTTTGTTCAGAGAAAGTTCAGTTTTGGGTAAAAAAGAAAGTGAAACCACAAGTGAAAAATAGTCTTTCGTTTTTGACAGGTCAGTCTTTACTTTTCTTCATCATCATCATCATTTCACTTTACTGATTCTTTATCTTCGCATCATCATCATCATCATCATCATCTCTCTCTCTCACTCTGTCTTCCTTTTCCCTCTTTCGGTAATAGCTCATTATATTATTTTCCTCTACGCGTAATATTATTACTCTGAAAGGTGAGGTTTGAGGCTAGTTTGATTTTTTACCTTTGCGAAATCACTTGTTTGCGAAAGAGAGAAGAGAAAGAGATGATGAAATAGAGAAGATGATAGAGGGTGAGAGGGAGAGAGAGAGAGAGAGAGAGAAGGTGAGGAGAGGGGGAGGAGGTCAAGAAGCTAATATTGAGGTTACTTTGCTCTCCATCGTTTTCACCTTCATCTCCTTCATCATCTTCGGTAAAAAAAACAACAAACAAGAACCAATACTTAAATTATACACTTTTGCAAGAGAAAAGGTAGAAGAAGAAAAAACAACAAGGAGAAAAACGAATTAGAAGATGAAGACAAGGATGATGAGGATGATGATGAGATGGGAGAAGAAGAAGAAGAGAGGTAAAAGTTGAAGTTATCTAATAAACAACAACACCACCGCTGGATCCCTTAGCCTCTCCTTGATCACGTTTTCCATTTTTTTTTCTTAAAGGTTCAGAGTCAGAATTATATATGAGATAAACTTGATGAGGGATGAGAGAGATGATGGAGAGGAGAAGATGAAACTACTTTGGTGCAAAAAAGGGAGTGTTTATCACTCTCTTCTTCTTCTCTGTCTATGATAGCCTCTTTTCTCTCTCTCTGCTCAGTTTCTCATCCTGAAGGAGATTGGAATAGATGAGAACATGAAGATACTTTGAGCCTGTTTTTCCCTTCTACTAATAACCTATCAGCCAATTGAGGGATGATGATGATGATGAGAGAGAGAGAGAGAGAGAGAGAGAGAGAGAGAGAGAGAGAGATGAAGATGAAGATGAAAAACAAAGAGAAACAAGTCATTCCATTGGAAAAACAGATTCATCTTATATTCATCTTTTCTCTCTCATTTACTCTCTCCCTTAACGGCACCCAAATGGTGATGATGATGAAGAATAAAATCTTTGTAAGAGTGGCCACAGAAATGACCACGGTTTTCATCTCTTCTTCATCTCTCTCTCTCTCTCTCTCTCTCTCTCTCTCTCTCTCTCTCTTTATTATCATCGTTATACTTAAATAATGATGCGAAAGAGAGATGATAATGATGATGAAAAGTTTTCTTCTCCCTAATCATTGATGAATACTAATGTTAGAAAATAATATAACAGATTGAGAGAGAACCCCTGAAGAGTGAGAGCAAAGAAAGAGAGAAAGATAATGATAAAAATTCTGATAAAGGTGAGAGAGAGAGAAAAGATTGAATCTTTCTAATATAATATTAATGATAATGATAATAAAA